AATTCATTTACACACCAGGGTTTGGATTCTGATAGCTAGTGAGGCCTTTATAAGCCTAGAATTCTATTTCCAGCTGTCTCCCATTGTGCAGCATAAGGAGGAGAACATCAATTTCTCTGAGTCATTTTAAAAACTTTTAGCCCAGGCAAAGCAAGACAAATCACAAATGGTAAAAAGGTAAGAGACAAATCTCATTTGTTTCTAGATTGTTCCCTCTGTACCCAGAGCCCTTGCCAACTTCATGAAGGAAACACCTTGCATGAGTGACTCACATGGGAAGCAGGAAACCAGAAATGACCCAAGACTCTTAATAGAAAGTTATCAATAAAACCCCCTGTAATCATAACGTCATTACTTTGTTTTTGCTAGATGACAAAGTCCTTATGATATAATTTGCTCTTGGCTGACCATATATCCTAATTGCCTTCCGCTTAGTAACATTTTTACTACTAGGAAAATTCTGTGTGCGTGGAAAAGCATCTTTAAAATGATGAAAAATACACACTTTTCACTTAGAATTGCTTTTCTATGAACTTAGTATCAAAAATTATAAACAAAAATTGTGTAAGCCAACCATAGAAGATTTTAGTAGCATGAATGCCTATTATGAGAAAACTCTAAATACAAAATTTAAGAAGGTGTTTATCAATACGTTTAGAATGTATATTAGCATAGGTAATCATCTAGTAATACCTCAAACCTGGAATTTGGCCCTCAGAGGCTTTTTTTTTTTTTTTTTTTTTTTGAGACTGAGTCTCACTCTGTTGGCCAGGCTGGAGTGCAGTGGCATGATGTCACCTCACTGCAACCTCCACTTCCCAGATTCAAGAGATTCTCCTGCCTCAACCTCCTGAGTAGCTGGGATTATAGGCTCCTACCACAATGCCTAGCTAATTTATGCATTTTTAGTAGAGACGGGGGTTTCACCATATTGGCTAGGCTGGTCTCAAACTCCTGACCTCAAGTGATCCACCGCCTTGGCTCCCCAAAGTGCTGAGATTACAGGCGTGAGCCTGTGCAGCCCGCCTACATTTTTATATTTTTATTCTGCTAAATGAGATTTGTTACTTTACTTCATTGTAATTTATTAAATAAACTCATTTCTTTAAGATTAAAGTTAATAATTAGATATGCTAGATACAGCGCATATTTTGATTTTACCAAGACATTAAAAATCTCTTTTGATACCTCTGCAATCAAGTTGGAAGAAAAAGGATTTTGCAGCAAATGTTCTCAAAGGTTGAACAACTGGTCTCAAAGTTTCCTGTGTAATGGGCTGGTGGCAAGTCAGAGGAAGGGTTCTAGAGGTATGGCAGGAAGATCTGTCCTTGCTCTGGATAATACTGACATGTCAGGAGCTGACACAATGGTCAGACTGGTGGTATTAAAATAAAGAAGCAGCCTCCCCCCCCGGAAAGAACACAGACTCTGGAATCAGAAAAATCAGATTGTAAATTCTGGCTCCCCCCACTTATTATTTATGAGATTTGGAACTAAACACTAGAGTCTGGGTTTCAATTTTCTCATCTGTATAATCATTTTCTGTGAGGAAATGACATTTTGAGAACTATTTAGGACAGGCATACAAAAAGTATTCAAAAGGTGGTACTTACTATCAAATCAACAAATGGTATAAAGCTGGGAGTAGGATGTTGTATTATAGAATTAAGGTTTAAGATTATTATTATATAATAGAAAATGAGCTAAGATAGTGATAAATATTATAGAAGGAAGAAAAATAAAATCTTATAGTTACGGGTTTTTTTGTGTGTCGGTGAGGGGGTGGTTTGTTTTAAATTAAATTGTACCAGCATAGAATGTGAACATCCTGGCCTACCAGCAGCTTACATGGAAAAGTTTCTGAAAGCGTGAACGACAGGGTGTTTACCATGGAGACAATAGTAAGTCATAGACACATATGTTCCATACCAGTCCAAAAAATTAAGTAGCATAATGCACTTCGCCATGGACATATCCCATCTGATGCAACATATTCAGTTCTGGGCACTGTATTTTGAGAAAAATATTTACAAAATATGTAACATAACCTGAAAAGGAAATCAGAATGGTAAAATGCTTATATAAGAGAAAACTGAAAAAGCTAGGACTGATAAGAGTAAGAAAGAAACTTAGGGAGAATCAGATAATTGCCCTCATACATATAACAGGCAGGAAAAGTGAAGAGCAATAGTAATAACTAATATGTACTGAATACTTACATGTAAAGTAGTCACCATTACCCTCATTTTGTACCTGAGAAAACTGAGGCACCCAGAGGCTAAGCTACATGCTTACAGTCATATAACTAGTAAAGGTTGGGACAGGCTTTACTCCATTAGTTCATCTCCAGGTCTGGGAGAGATATTAGAGCTTCTTGCCAAATATTCCTAGTCTTACAGGATCATGGCAAGATTGTATTCCACCAATTCCTTTGAAGCTGAGTATAGACATGGTTTTCGGGCAATGAAACATGAGCATACATCATGTTCATTACTTCAGCAAGAAATTAATTATCTATACAGTTCGTCACATACTATTCCCACCACAAACATGTAGAGATGGAGCCTCCATCAAGTTAGGCACAATAATGAATGGAGCTTCCCTGTTGACTCACACTGGACAACAGCAGCAAGAAATATGCTGTTACGTTTTTTATTAAGCTGCTGAGAGTTGGGGGTTGTTTGTTACTGTGGCAGCATCTAGCCTTTTCTGGCACACATACCTAAAAATCATTAAAATGTCTCAGAATAGGGAAACATATTTACTCTTATATTTCCACAGGTCAGAACTAAGAATAATTGTAGAAACTACAGGTAGGTAGATTTGGGCTTAATTTTTTTTTTTTTTTTTTAAGTAACGTTGTCCAAAAAGTTTCTTCATGAGGAAGTGAGCTCCCTGACAATGGTGGTATTTAAACAGAGGCCAGATGATCATTTTACCATCTATGTGGAAAAAGAGATGGCTAATTAAAGAGGTTTAGTTTATCAAACATTTATTGAACACCTCCAATGTGCCAAGCATCCTAGCCACACACATAAATCCAAATATACAATCTCTACCCTGAAGGAAATAAACAAATTCAGAACTTGATAACCTCTGTGGTCTCTTCTAACAGTGTGATTCAACCAAATTAGAGATAATAACATGGCCTGGACGAAGCAGACGGCAAGCCCAAACTTACAAATAACTATATAGCACTAGAAATCCTGCTGGTGCCTAGGTTGGATTATTATTTCTCAATTAGTAGCCAAAAGTATAGGGTTTGCAAAAGGGAAGAAAACGGGAGAATTGCTAGGTTTAAAGGAGGAATATTTTCCCTTTCTCTAGTTACCATTCTTAAATCTTGCAAACCCAGCATATTATCTGGCTTACATCAGGGGTGTTTCAGCAAAGGGAATAGCACTGACTCACAGCAATTGTTACCAACCTTTTCCATCACTGCTCCCGCCCCTTGCAGTCAGGAAGGGAACATTTCAATACGGATCAAGTCAAACATGAAAAACAGGAATAACCTTTCTATAGCGCTCTTCTTCAGTTTAGCTATCAACCAAAACATTTGCAAAATATCAGAAGTTTTCCCTAAAATGTTACTAAGCAAGAGCTTAGGGGAATCCCACACTCAAAGGATGATGTGAAAATCACAAACTAGATGAGTGATTCCAGAGGATACTGACATTGTTTCCCAAGTGGTACCCTTGAACAGCACTAACTTCAGTATTTATTATCCCTGGTGGTCTTAGTAGTTAAAGATTGGTTGGTTGGTTGGTTGGTTGGTTGGTCTAAACTTTCAGAAATCAGACAGTGGAGAAAGGTGTTGTCCTTTCACTAGCTCATTGCATTTTAATGGCAAAACAACTAAAACCTGGATAAGCATTAACTGTAATTGCTCTGAGGCAGACATTTCCATTTCAGGTTATTATTCCTAACCATATCAGTGCAGAGTAATACATGTGGATGTTTTTTGAAGCTATTACCTAGACTAGGGTGAGGGCATCTGATTACTATTATTCCCCATCTGAAAGCTTCAGTTTGAACTCTGAAGTCTGCAGCTCTGCCAGGCCCTGAATTTTCTGAACTACAACTCTGATTCTCTATGAAAGAGACACATAAATCAGGGCAAGCTAGATTTCAATGCCATTCCTCAGTCAGTTCAGTGTGACATAAGTTTCTCAAAAATACACATACAGAAGAAATTGGCTTTGGCACATTTAAGAGCAGCAGGGAATTTGCATCTCATGCTAGTTTAATGTGCACCCTTAATACTCTCGTCTATTTTCTAAAATATAATGCTATTCTTGCAGAGGCAGCTGGACCCCTGTATACCCGGTCTTGTGCCAAGCTATGTACACAAATACACTCTTTACAAATACAGATGTGAAATGCCGTGCTAAGACATATGCGAGGCATAGAGAGAGATTCGAGTGTTTAGTCTAGAGGCTCCACACCTAAAAGTTTCAGGGGCAGAGCTGATGTTTGAAGAGTGAGAGGGGAGACCGCCCATCCTGTACTTTCATCCGGGGACTATGGAGATGACCCCATATTCCCAGCATCACTTTGCCCTCTGCCCTGGTGACCCGGGTTGAGATTTAATCTAGGGCCGGTGGGGGGAGGGGGGGCGCGGAGGGCAAGACAATTGTGCTGTTGGTTCCTCAGACAGAGAGAAGAGCTGGAAATCACTAAGCCTTCCCGAGCTGACACACCCACCCAGAACGGATGGCCCAGGGGTGCGGCGAGGAGGCAGGGGTAAAGGACGCGGCGCCAGGCAGGGGAACCCGGGCATCCTTTCCGCGCTTGCACGAAGATGCTGCAAGTGGCTACACGCGTGAATCTAGCGTCTGAGCTAGGAAGTCGCGCTACGCGCACTGGAGGATGCCCCTTTCCTCCTCCTGGTCCCCCAGCCCTATGCAAAGTGAGCTGGAGAAAGTTGTGTCCCGGCCATGGCGGCCGGGGCTGGAGAAAGGAACGAAGGCAAGCAGGGAAGTGACCCAGGGTCCCCTTACCTTGTCCTTGGGGCCGAGGTTCTGCAACACCTCTTTGCCGGTGGCGCTCCGGATCTCCACCCCGGCGGGCGCGGGGGACGCGGGCGCGGGCTCCCTGCTCTCTTCCCGGCCTTGGCTCCTCCGCGGAGTGTCCCCCTCGATCCCAGGCCGGCTCCCCGAGCCTCGGTCGCTGCCCTGGCCGCTCCGCGGAGTCTTGGCGCCCCGCTGCCCCACGCTCAGGGCATCGAAATCCAGCGTCTTGCTCTCGAAGGCGCCCTCCACGTTGCAGAACATGCCGCCGTATTTCTGCCGGGGGACCTGGTCCGTGGTGCCCGGCCTGGCCAGGTACACGGGCAGATCGTCTTCGTGGGAGCTGTCCCAGCCCCTCCGGCCCGAGGCCATGGTTCAAGCGCGAAAACGGCCCGCGGGTTTTTCTTCCCCAGAGGCGGAAAGGGCAGCCGCCGGCAGCGTGCGCCGAGCCACAGTGAGTGGGGCGGGAGGAGGCGCCTGAGCCTTCGCGCCAGAGGCGGCAGTGCTGCTCCGATTCCTGCCTGTCCCCAGCGAGCCAGCGAGCCACACAGCCAGCTAGCGCGCGGCGCAGGGGCGCGGAGCAGCGGCGCGCTCGGCTCGCTCGCGGGACCTCTCGGCCGGCCGCACCTCCTCACGCACCCCCAACCCTAACGTGGCCTCCCGGGCTGACGCAGCGTCGGTGCCCATCACAAACACAAACCAAACTTGGCGCGCGCGCACACGCGCACACAGGCGCACGCTGCCCGCGCGCGCAGCAGCCTCGCTTCGCACACCGACTCGCCATGCAGACGCCTTAGAAATGTTCACGCTCAAGAACTTGACGGCCTCACCCACACGGACTCCCTGGTTTGCCTCACAGACACAAAGCTTTCGGGCGCCCCTCATGCACAAAAACCCTGCTGACCCAGGTGGATTCAGCTCACAGCCGAGTCCTGATCTTCTACTAACACATAAAAACTCAAATTTACGACAGACTCACAATCCTACCCAGAACCCCGGACTTGTCTCATCCTCCTCTTTAAGGATTACACTCACAAGTACACCCAGTTCTAGGATCTGCCTTGCAAACCCACACCCTCACATAAAGTCCTGAATTGGTTTACACACACAACACAAACACACATACTGAGAGAGAGGCCCTCTTACTTCCTTGACAGTCACAAAATCCCTTTGACTCACATGAGCCCTTTCTTAGTTTGTATATAATATCCCTGATTTTGCTTTTACCACCCCTAATTTGCCTCACACGCAATGACATTTCAGATCACAGACACACACACACACACATTCTTAGATTTTGCCCTGCAAAGCACTCTTCGTTAATGCTCTGTCCCTCAAACAACCACCCCCAGATTTTAATCTCACACGCTGAGGCAAGCCCAGGTTTACCTCACTCAGAACCTACACTTAGATTCACACCCAAGCCCAGATTTACTTCAAAATTACACAACCAAACACTTCGCTTTTCATTTTACCTCACATACAGGCAGACTTTCTTATGTACATCTATGCTTTCGTATCCTCATCCTCTCCCCAACATCCACCCACCTATACTCTGACCCAGACTTCACCACATAAACAGAGTCCACAAACTACACACCTTAACATCATATCCACACACAGAGCCTAAACCCAAAACCTGTGGTGCTGGATTTACTGGGCCCCCTCTCAGAAAGTCCATCCATTCATTTACTTAGCCAACATAAATCAGGTACCCAATATGCCTTTCACAAGGTACTGGAGTGACGGGGTCGAACAAGGGAGATGGGCCTGTCCTCAGCACGAATGCAGTCTATAACCAGGCAGCGAGGTAGCACAGTCATTCACTGCTCTGCTCAACATACTGAACTTAGTTTATTTTGTGAGCCAAACACTCCCCCTCCCAAGCACAGACACACACACACTAAACTCCAAGAAGGCAGAGATCTGGTCCGTTCAGTTCGCCTTTGTATATCTTGTGCCCAGAACATCTACATAAATTCTTTTTGAATAAGTGGAGGATAACAACAACAACAGCGGCAGCAGCAGCACCAGGAAACATTTATGGAGTTACTGCTACGTGCCACTCATTATTATAACTGTTTCACATATACTGACTCATTTAATGCTCATAAGCATATGGCAGGATTCTTCGTGCACACAGACAGACATGGTCTTTGAAGGTGTCTGCATAGAATTTGATGAAACTCTAAGCTCTGATTTTGGAGTGGAACAAAGGCTCTGGAAACTGAAGTGTCAGTCTCAAGCCTGTGACAGCCACAAAAGTTTGGGGAATGGAAGTTGGCCCGAACTTAGATCAAAGACAGGTATGTTGATATACATTAAACCTATCCCCTGACCAGGCACAGTGGCCAGGATTATATCACACCTATAATCCCAACACTTTGGGAAGTCAAGGCAGGTGGATCACCTCAGGTCAGGTGTTCGAGATCAGCCTGGCCAACACAGTGAAACCCCATCTCTACTAAAAATATAAAAAATAGCCAGGTGTGATGGCATCTGCCTGTAGTCGCAGCTACTTGGGAGGCTGAGGCAAGATAATCACTTGAACCCAGGAAGCGGAGGTTGCAGTGAGCCGAGATCGAGACACTGCGCTCCAGCCTGGGCAACAGAGCAAAACTCTGTCTCAAAACAAAAACAAAAATAAAAAACAAACAAAAAACTCCTATCCCCAGTGAAGAGAAAGCCACTTGCTAAACTGCCTGTGCTCTATCAATATTATTTACAATTTCTTCAGCTGACTTCCTCTGGGCAGCTGCTCCTTCTTAACAAATGCTGGTTGGTGATGGACTCAGAATTTCTTGTGACTACTGCTTCGGAACAATTACATTTAATGCTTATCTAGGTTTTATTAGTGTCAGGCTCTGTGCTAAGGACATCCCAGGCAGTATCTTAATTCATCTTAATAACCTTACCTGTCAGGTACTAGCATTTCTGTTTGTTCGAGGCAGCATCTCACTCTGTCACCCACATGGGAAAGGTGGGAATGCAGTGGCTGGATCACAGCTCACCGCAGCCTTCGCCTCTAGGGCTCTAGCAATCCTCCCACTTCAGTCTCCTAATTAGCTGAGATCACAAGTGTGTGCCACCATGCCCAGCTAACCTCCTGTATTTTTTGTAGAAACAGAGTTTCACCATGTTGCCCAGGCTGGTCTTGAACTCCTGAGCTCGAGCTCGAGCCTTGGCCTCCCCAAGTACTGGGATTATGGATGTGAACCACTGCACCTGGCCTATTCTTTCTTTTCTTCTAATGAGGAAGCAGAGGCTCTGAATAAATGTCCAAGTTATAATAGAATCATAACTTGAAGCAGGATATGCACAGTGTTTGCTTTGAGAGTGGGCACATTCTGTGTGTAGACACACACTTTCATGTGCATATTTGCGTGGGAGCATGGGCATACAAACAGAACTTTGTAGTTTTACATGAGCCCCGTTGTTATAGCTGCATTGCCTCACCACTATGTCTGATGCAGTATATAAGCACAATAATTACATTTGTTGCCAAAATATCACATTTAAAAGTAACAGTTACATGTACGCATATGTGTTTAATTAAGAAAGTGCAGCAGCCTATTAAAATTTTTAAAAGACTGAAATGGGAATGGCTGATCTGACTCCAGTTCTGCAACTATGTGGCTTTAGGCAAGTGTCCTGCTTAACCTGTTTGTGTTTCTCTCCTTCATGTTTGCCTTACCCACTGAAGAGGATTATTAAGGACTTCATTCCTTGAGCAAGCCATTGTGCTAAGAATTTCATAAGCATTGCCTTAACCTTCCTAAGAACCCCATAAATCTGCAGTGATAATTATTTCCATTTTATCTATGGAGAAATTGAGACTTAGTGAAGTTCAGTTCTTTAGCTGAAATATCACAGTTAGTTCTGGAATTCAAACTGGAATTCAAACCTTCCACTAGCTGATTCAGACAGAGCCTGTGCTCTTAAAAAAACACCCATAATAAAGCTCTGTCATGAGGATCCACAGAAATAATAAACGGGAAGGCCAAAAGCAAGGTGTTATGGAATGAAATATCTCTAAATGCCCCAGTTGTTCTTGTACAGAAATTAATTTTGGTTAAGGCAAACACTCACATAAGGAAATATCAGACCACTCAACTCCAAGCAAAGGCATTAGCCTCATGAATACGTGGAAATTTTGTCATGTCCCTTTCTAAGAGATAGAGGATACATTACTTGTGACAATAATAAACATAAGAGCAACAGTATGTCTATAGATACTGTAAGTCAGACCACTCAGGGAAGGGGTTATCCAAAACAATGTACCAACAGCAAACAAAGTCTGTAATGTGGGCAAGAAAATAGAGCTTTGAACTTGTTACACACCAAATCAAATTTGCATTTTTTGTAATTGAAGTAAATAATATTTCACTTGGTATTGAGATGACTTGTGATGTGAGCCCATACATACCTGATTATAACTCTAGGAAAATGTATTCCAGAGGCATCTTCTATTACCTCTAGATTAGCAGAAGGTAGAGACTCCTCCACAGAAATCAATGGTATGCACCAAGCAATCCTGATATGGCAGCATGCAGAACACATTTTTTTTTTTTTTTGAGACAGAGTTTCGCTCTTGTTACCCAGACTGGAGTGCAATGGCGCGATCTCGGCTCACTGCAACCTCTGCCTCCTGGGTTCAAGCAATTCTCCTGCCTCAGCATCCCGAGTAGCTGGGACTACAGGCACACACCATCATGCCCAGCTAATTTTTGTATTTGTAGTAGAGACGAGGTTTCACCATGTGGACCAGGATGGTCTCCGTCTCTTGACGTCGTGATCCACCGGCCTCTGCCTCCCAAAGTGCTGGGATTACAGGCGTGAGCCACTCTGCCTAGCCAGAATACATTTTATGAGAAAATAAATTGCATTGCATTCTTTTTTTTTTTTTTTTTTTGAGACGGAGTTTCGCTCTTGTTGCCCAGGCTGGAGTGCAATGGCACGATCTCGGCTCACTGCAACCTCCGCCTCCTGGGTTCAGGCAATTCTCCTGCCTCAGCCTCCTGAGTAGCTGGGATTACAGGCACACGCCACCATGCCCAGCTAATTTTTAGTATTTTTAGTAGAGACGGGGTTTCACCATGTTGACCAGGATGGTCTCGATCTCTTGACCTCGTGATCCACCCGCCTTGGCCTCCCAAAGTGCTGGGATTACAGGCTTGAGCCACCGCACCCAGCCGCATTGCATTCTTTTTCCTTTTCTTTTTTTTTTTCTTTTTTTGAGACGGAGTCTCACTCTGCCACCCAGGCTAGAGTGCAATGGTGTGTTCAAGTGATTCTCCTGCCTCAGCCTCCCAACTGGCTGGGACTACAGGTGCTCACTACCACACCCAGCTAATTTTTTGTATTTTTAGTAGAGACATTGGTTTTGCCATGTTGTCCAGGCTGGTCTCGAACTCCTGACCTCAGGTGATCCACCTGCCTCAGCCTCCCAAGTGCTGGGATTACAAGAATGAGCCACTGAGCCTGGCCACATTGCATTCTTATAAGGTAAAACTCTGCTCAACAGAAGATAAAATTTTAGTCCTCACTAAGGTTATGCCTCTATGCTCAAAATAAATGAAAATAGAGGAGTTATACAGCTTACCTTGACTCATCAGTTAATTTAAATAATTCTAATCAAAACCCACCCTCTTTCTTTTCTTTCTTTGAGTTGCAGGAATTTGAACCTGTATTATCTTGTCTTGATTTTAATGAACATAGAGGTTGGAAATCAAATTTTTTATGGAACAATCCTATATATAAATAAGGC